TGGGACCACAGGTGTGTGCCCACCGCCACCCCACCGCGGTCCCCAGGACCAGGGAGCATCAGCACCGCCATGGTGCCTCTCCAGCCGCTGCATCCCAAGGGGTTGTTCCCCTCTGCGGGCACCAGCAAACCCTCTCCTTTCCACGGTAGCATTTATGTCCCCTGCCACCGGGCTTTAAAATAAACCCATCGGCTGTCTCCAAGCGAAGGCGAGGTTTTGATGCTGCTTCGTGTTAGAGATTGTCGGTTGGTCGGTGATTTTTCTAATTTTTTTTTTTCTTTTAATGGGAAGGTGAATGGGAAGGTGCGTGCAGGGGAGGTTTGGGAAGCAGGAGGCAGCGCCGAGGCTGGGGCTGCCGGGGATGGCTCCTCCAGGTCCTCACCGATGGCTGCTCCTGGGCAGTGGCACAGAAAGTTTCATTTCTCTGTTGATTTGATTCAAGCCTCCAAAATTTACCCCCCCCCAAAAAAACCCCTATTCAAGCAAAATACCCTCGGAAAAAGCAAATCCTTGTTGACCTGGGCTGCAGCACTGCACCTGCCTGGAAAAGCTCTTTGTTTCCTGGGCTTTTGACTTTTTTTTTTTTAAGCCTCTTTAAAACCTCTTTTCCCATTTTGCTTTTCCCATCTTATCTTTTACTTTTCTTTGCTGAGTATTTTCCTGTCTGTTAGGGATGAGCTCCTCTGGCTGCAGCTCATTTTTTATCAGAAAAAAAACAATTCATGGCAGGAATTTCTCTGAATTTTACCTGTTTTTTTGCACTTCCCACATTTTCTTTACCTGTTTGTTCCTGATTTTAATTTCAATGGGCGCTTGCGTGGGCAAAGGGCAAAATCCAAAGGTAAGCTGCCAAATGCAAAATATGATATAAAGAACATTTTAACTCCTTTTAATTTTTAGTGTTTTAGATCTCCCTTTGGCTGAATTTGTCTCCTCTGAACTCGGGCTGTGGGAGGCAATTCTGGATCCAATAAAACTGGGGGAAAACCTGGGAGGACCATGTCGGTTTAGTGTTGGAAAGCTGGATTTAGGGGCAAAGAGCTGATTAGAGTCGTTTGATTTGAGGTGCCCCCCTAAAATATACATATAAGCAAATCCTCTTCCTGTTCTGCAGGGGTTACCCTTCCCACCACAGGAATAAAACCCAAAAATTGCAAAAGCAGAAAACTAGGAGGGAAATCCTGACCCCAACCACACTGCCTCAAATTCCGGCTCCATCTCCTCTGCCTGCTCCCTGCCTGCTCCTTGCCAGCACCAGCCCACACTGCCCAGTCTCTCCCCAGTAACCAGCCCTTTCCTGGGGCAGCTCAGCTCCCACCCAGCCCCAGGGAGCCCCAAAACAGGGACAAGTTTGGGGGTGACTGCATTTCCAGGAGGAGCCCGGGGCTGGGGAGCACTGCCAGTTTCCAAGGAGACAGGGGAGAGTTATGGAAAAAAGCCGGATTTATGGAATCACAGCGGAACTTCCACACCTGGTGCTGGGGGTGCACAGGGACCCCCCCAAACCCCCAACTCACAGCACTGATGCTGCCCTTCAGTGGAGTTTGGGGGGGTGGGGGGTTTAAGGATGGAGGGTTGGGGATGGTATTGGTGTTGGGAGGACTGAGTTTGGGTCTGGGAAGGTCACAAAGAGGATTGGGATGGTTGGGTATGGATACGGGATTGGGGTTGGAGGGGCTGGGTGTGGTTTGGGCATGGGTTTGGGCTTGTTTTGGGTCCTGGACCCCATCCATTTTCGGGGACTGAAAGGGAAGCAGGGATACCAGGAGAGCCGCCCACTCTCTGTCTCCCATTTCCCAAAGAGCAGGAGCAGGGTGCAGGGACTGGGGGAGTGCACAGGGCACAGAGCTTCCGCACATGCCCCCACCTCTCCACATACACCCACCCCACGGGTACATGCATCAAGGAAAACTGTGAGTATCTGGAAATGCATATAGCATGGATGCTCGTATCGATGTGTATATATAAATGGGTACAGCATATAAAGGCATATAGAAATGCAGGTCAATGGGTGCATATAGCATAAATGCATATAGTGCATGTCTATAAATGCATGTGGCACCAATGCATACGGCAGAAATGCAGATATTGATGCATATCATAAATGCCTATTGCATGAATGCACATATCAGTGCACATATATACGCATATGTATATAAGCACATATAATACAGATGGGTATAGCGATGCCTATAGCAACCCTGCCTGCAGGTGTAAGTGGCTCTGGCAGAGCTGGGGTGAAGAGGGGACCTGGGGGGGTCAGGGCATAGTGTTGGGGTTGGGCTGGTGGCAGTGCTGTGTGTGGTTAGAAAGAATGAAGGAAAAAAGGACACAGAAGGGAAGGAAAGGAAGGCAGGCAGGAAGGAAGGAAGGAAGGAAGGAAAGAGAGAGGGAAAGGGAAGGGAAGGGAAGGGAAGGGAAGGGAAGGGAAGGGAAGGGAAGGGAGGAAGAGAGAAAGGGAAGGGAGAAAGAGAGAAAGGAAAGGAAAGGAAAGGAAAGGAAAGGAAAGGAAAGGAAAGGAAAGGAAAGGAAAGGAAAGGAAAGGAAAGGAAAGGAAAGGAAAGGAAAGGAAAGGAAAGGAAAGGAAAGGAAAGGAAAGGAAAGGAAAGGAAAGGAAAGGAAAGGAAAGGAAAGGAAAGGAAAGGAAAGGAAAGGAAAGGAAAGGAAAGGAAAGGAAAGGAAAGGAAAGGAAAGGAAAGGAAAGGAAAGGAAAGGAAAGGAAAGGAAAGGAAAGGAAAGGAAAGGAAAGGAAAGGAAAGGAAAGGAAAGGAAAGGAAAGGAAAGGAAAGGAAAGGAAAGGAAAGGAAAGGAAAGGAAAGGAAAGGAAAGGAAAGGAAAGGAAAGGAAAGGAAAGGAAAGGAAAGGAAAGGAAAGGAAAGGAAAGGAAAGGAAAGGAAAGGAAAGGAAAGGGGAAAGGAAAGGAAAGGGAAGGAGAGACAGAAGGGAAGGAGAAATGCCATGCAGTAGATCCAGCTGCTGGTGCTGCCTATGTCTCCCCGCTGCTGTTATTGCTGCTGCACCTCCCTGCTGGGGCAGAGCGGAGGGAGGTGATGGGGGGTGGGGAGAAGAGGTGGTGAAGAGACAGATAAATATATAAATGCTGCACAAACTGTTAAAATCTGCTCTGAGAGTCAATTTTGACTTTTAGGCTCATGAACCATTAATAAAAATTTCCTTATACTCAAATGACTCTCAAATGCTGTGATAGCGGATTACAAACTCCTAATGGAGATGCTGTACGATCAAATATTCTCTAAGCAGCAAGGTCTAACATACCGGGGGTGGCTGGGCCACCTGATTATCAGCTTATCGGCAAATACTTCTTAGTGTGCGATGTGCCGAAAAGAAAGCATCTTCCTCGGCGTGGTCACTTTCCCGTTCTTCATTTAAACAGGTTTGGGAATGGCATCATGTGGTCTGGGGGCCATAGGATGACCTGTGACAAAGATGTCCCCACGGTTGCATACCATACCGTCATGGGGTTTGACCCAGGTTTTGGGTTTTTTCCTGGTTTTGGGTTTTCCCCATTAGAGATTCAGAGTTGGAGGCACTGGTGGGGACTCCCCTTCGGTGCGCAGAGAAAAAAATCATCCTTGGTCTTAAATACCTCCCAGTGACACCCAGCCCTTGCCAGGACCAAGCCACTGGACGTGATGTATGATTACCTGATAACTAAACAATTCAGAAGGCCTAAGTAGCATCATTATAGGGAGAGCAGGAGGCAAGGAGGTGCCTCTGCAAGACCAGAGACCTCCTTACGGAGATCCCTACAGAGCTAATTGCTGGAAAAAACGGACTGTATTCCTGTTGTTTTCTGTTTTCAAGGAGGAGCTGGTTCTCTCCCTGCCTCCCCTCATGCTCACAGGTAGGGACGCTGATATTTGTTCTCGTGT